GATCGGAGTCATCAAACCTAGATGGCAAAAAACAGACGTTCCTTTTTGCTGTCCTAATTATTTTGAGCCACCACTTTGGGTGAAGTAACTCGTATTCTCGTTGCTTATTCACCTACCCCTATCAAATCTTGAAAATGCTACTATTTCTAAAGTAGTTCTGGTCTTAGTAGCATAAGGAGTATATGAGGGGATTCACCCGCTGGATAGGGGAATTGTTATATAGTGACTAAGGATAGGAAAAATGGTCAGTGAAGAGCATAATAACAAATCTACCGGCCAAGACTGATCATCAACTTGGTTTCAAGTAGCACATAGGATTATCTGCGGCCCAAGACAGTCATTGCAGAGGTCGTATCAGCCAAAGATAAACATGCAGAGAAGACACAATGCTTATCTGACTGGTCTCTAGTACTTTATACTCACGATTCACCTGTTGGTGTATGGTGGTTATTTCTTGTCCCTTCATTACCACCTAGTGCTGCTCTCTATATGTACCCATTCTGTACAGCTGATGGAGTCCGGGATAGCCAGCTGCATTGTATGGTACTACTGCATTTGGTAAAAAACTAGTATTTCGCTATTGCATACCTGAGTGTAGACGAGGGGAATATTAAACCGATTTTCTGTCGAGATGGCCCCCAAAGAACCGCGGAATTCGTTGATAACTCTGACGAGTTCCATAAAGCTGTGCCCATCCATAAGATAGTTCATCTTCTGGGCTTTCCTGAGCACATCAAGACACCATTTGAGCGGCAGCCAAGCCTCTGGAATATAGCCATCACCTGAAACAAGGAATAATTAGGAGGGGTTAAAAATGCCGAGTTCACAGAGTAAAAGGTAATGAGCAGATAAGAGCCATGCAGAAAGATAATAAGTTTAGGGGCCAATTAAAGGCGTCCGTAAGCCTGCTTGGTCAAAGTTTTTATGAGCATGTGATCAAGGAGTAACCAAATAAAATTGTAATCAAACCCAGAATAACTAAAATAATTGTTGGTGCGACTTAATTTACATGTCGAAGTGTGTGATTAGAAGATTCCTAGATCGATGTTATTTGATCTTGCTGGGGATTGCAGGCTGCAGCGGTCCTCAAAGCATCGTTCCACAGTTCACGGTGCTCTGCCCTGAACTCCCTCAGCGCAAGACGATAATGAAGGGACAATAAATAACCATAGGCCAGAGAAAAGCTGGAAGTCTTCATCTGAGCCAAAAGAGGGTTCCCAGTATACTTCGGCAACAACTGAATCAACTTTTAT